TGATGCTCCCTGCTCAGTTCCCTGCATGTGAGCACTGCGGCCCTGCAGGGCTTTCTGGATCATTTTCCGCCTCTATTGCTGCTCACACTCCTATCTGTAAATGGGAACGCTTGTGACCAAGGTTGGCACACCCAGCTGCATGACACGGGATTTGCTGTGAGTGAACCAGCACCACCTGAGTTGGGGTCATGAGTTTGGGGTCAGAGGATACTGACTGAACTCTCCTTAACAGCCATGTAACCTCAGGAAAGCCCCTTGACCTCTTCAGACTTGTTTTCAATACCTTCCCCTTCCCCACCCCCTCCCCCGCCATCTTCTCTAAACATTGTTTATCAGACAAGAGAATTTGAGGCCTCAGCAACCAAGCCAGGGGAGGCAGGCATAACACACAGGCCCCTTTTTACAGCCGGATTTGTCTTTCAGTGTGACTTGGTCCAGAGAACATGTTCCCACCCCTCCTTCATCTGCTGTGTGGCTCTGGATGGGGGTCACCTGATCTTTCTGGGCCTTGGTTTTAGCGTGAGAAGATGTCCCCTGGGCCATACAGTTTGCCTACCCTGTTCTATATTCACGCCTGTAGAACCTTCTAGACGCCACCAGACTGGGACTTCCCTCCCTCCCCATTCATGCCTTTTTCTTTCCTTTACTATGACTTTTATCAAAAGCAAACAGGGTGATTCTTGTGATAGTGGCCGCTCCCCAGCTGCCCTGTAGGAGCCACAGGGCGGGTTGGAGGGAACGATGGGCTGATTAGATAAAGTAGGTACTGGTGGTGAGCTGGTGGGCACCCACATACCAACCACAGACTCCACAGGGCATGGTGGGGGCTTTGGGTGGTTGGGTTTGGTGCTCCAGAAGCCCTGGCCATTGACACAAGGTCTGGCCCCATTTGGGGTAAAAGAAGCCTCTTGCTGACTCTCCAACACACCACAGCCTCCTAGATGAGGCCATACTCACATAGGAAAGCTGGGGTGACTCGAGTCTCATCAGGGGGCACTCTGAGGTCAGGGTTTAAGAGTGACCGTACTTGGGTCAGGTGGTGGCGGCCTTTAATCCCAGTCAGTACTTGAGAGACAGAAGTAGGTGGATCTCTGTGAGTCTGAGGTCAGCCTGGTCTATAAAGTGAGTTCCAGGACAGCCAGGACTGTTACACAGAGAAACCCTGTCCCCCAAAAAAAAAAAAAAAAAAAAAAAAAAAAACCTTGGGGAACCAGAAAGATGGTTCCGTGGCTGGGAGCACTTGTTGCTCTTTCAAGGGATCCAAGTTTGGCTTCCAGCGCTCTTGTCAGGGGGCTCCAACTCCAGGGGACTCTGACGCCCTCTCCTGGTCAATGTGAGCCTAGATACACACATGGCATACCTACATACAGACACACACAACTATAAATAAAACATTTAAGAAAAAGAAAGGAAAAGGAATGGCCACACTTGGAGTTGTGACCTTGGAGAATTTGCATAAGATCTCTGGGCCTAAAGAGGAGGCCAATGCCAGTCCTGGGTGGTTCTGTGCATGCTCTTGAGGGAAGCCAGTTAGATTTCAAGGCAGAGCTGGAACCCAGGGTCCTCAAGCCAAGTCTGAGGAGTTTCCAGGCCAAGGGCAGCACCTGTGAGACCAGGCTCAGCACTGTCATAAACATGGCCCCTTAGCCTTACAGACCCAGACTCTCCCCCACGCCCGCCCAGATTTTCGAGACAGGGTTTCTCTGCGCAGTCCTAGCTGTCCTGAAACTAGCTCTGTAGACTAGGCCGAACTCACAGAGATCCACCTGCCTCTGCCTCTCAAGTGCTGGGATTAAAGGCGTGCGCCACCACTGCCCGCCAGACACAGGCTCTTTAGGATGCCGTGTGAACACTCCTTCAACAACACAGTAAACGGAGGCTCCAGCAGGACAGGAACACAGCCACTAGGGCAGCCACTAGGATTTGGCCTGTTGGTTTGAACACAGTTCTGCCACCCAGGGCACCCCAACAATAGCCACCCCCACCCCCACCCCCAGCCAGGCTCAGCTGAGGAGGTGGATCCTGGACTTCTGCTCCGGGGTGGGAGGGTGAGCGCCCTGAGGGCCGTGCATGACTAGCATTGCAAACAGAGAAATATGCATTAGGTTCCTCGAAGATGGTTCTGGGGAATGCAGTTAAGTCTTAGCACGTGTTCTAGAAGCAATGTGTGCAGTTGTTTACCTGAATAAATTAGCCCTTGACCCAGTGCTGGACCCGGAGTGACGGCCACGTTCTTGTCAAGAGCCCACCAGAGAGCATTAGAGAAACTGAGACCAGGTCCAGACTATTTCAGCCCTGGAAGAGGCCAACTGCTCCCTCCTCCGTCACCCTTCAAAAGGGTACTGAGGTTGTGTGGCGAGACTCTGACTCAAACCCAGCCTGTCTGCTAGCACATTGCAGCTGGCTGTTGACCCTCTTTGAGCCTCCCAGGTATGCCAGGAGGAACCCCGTAAGTCATATCTGGTGTTGGGCTACGGCCCAGAGGAAGGGGCCAAGGTTCATATTAGGACTGCAGGCTTTAAGAGACAAAAGGCACCTTCCCCATTCTCCAGCTGAGGGAACAGGTGGCCAAGGCCTGAACCAGGCTGGAACCCACCATAACAGCCATGAAGGCATCTGGACAGCACCTTGTTCCTAGAATTCCCAGGATAGACGCTGTGGCCCCAGTCCCTGCCCCCAGATACCTCTCAGGGCTCTGACACTGAACATGTGCCACAAACCCAGAGACGAGATCATGCCCACACGGCCACATCCAGCTCACGTCTCCTGTCACCACTGTGGAGCTCCAGGTTTTCTAGAAAGCTCTCTGTCCAGCCCTCACTTGCCAGGTCTCCCAGCGTGTCATTCCATCCCTAGGCCCCGGGCTTGCTTTCTCACGCTCAGTCTCAGCGTCCTCAGAAAAGGACATCTTCAAGCCCCACTTTTCTGGTCCTGTTTGACTTGCTAGGTGAGCATCGCTGCTGGGTGCTAGCTTAGTTTCTGGCCATAAGGGGTTGGGGCAGGAGCTAGGTTTTCTACGTAACTGAATGTTGAACAGAACCAGGGCTGCTGTGCACAGTGGCACAGGTCACCCTGTACAAGCTGCTGGAGTGGGCCTAGGATGAGACCAGCTGCCCTCCCCTTACCTATCTGCCTCAAAAAGTAGCCTCAGACTGACTGACCTGGATCCTGGACCAGAGAGGTGTGTTACCATAGTGATTGCTGTACATCCCCACCTCTCCTAGGCCTCTCCCAGCCCCTGAGCGCAGAGTGGTGGTGTTGTCCCCCTGGGAGAGGGGCCACAGGCCTTATCAGCAGCCAGTCCTCTCTGGCAGTGCGTGATACCCAGAGGATGGGTTGGCTGCCGTGGGAAATGCCAGCCATGTTCTTATCTGGAAGGCTGAGCCGTGGCCGTGAACTCTGATTAGGGTGTAGGGCCGTTTGCCGGTGGGTGAGTGAGGGGGTGGCACCGACTGCCTCCTTCCCCATGGGGGCTGGAGGCAAGTTGGAGCCCAGAGCTGTCCAAGAGGCTCCCACAGGTAGCAGCACGGACGGCGGTGGCTGTGGGGCTGTACGTGCCACACCCTCAGGGTGACCTGCATCAACAGCCTCCCTATCTTGTGTCCCAATTTGGGAGGACACAGTCTCAGACGAAGGTATCCCTGTAATAGGGAGCTCCTGACAGGGGCCAGGGGATCAAAGGCATAAGCATCCAGAACAGGGGAAGCTGGCAGGTCACTGTCACAGCAACAGGTAAACGGCCCTGCTGTCAGTTCCAGGTTTGGATACTGACACCTGCTGCCAGCAGTGGGCCTCTCGGGGCCTCTGTTTCATCATCCACACTGGAAATAAACATCACGGGAGCTAGTCTCTGCATCCCTCCTGGGACAGGGCTGCCCAGGCCTTGTCCCTGCTCCTGTAGATGGCATTGACCCTCCTGGTGTCAGCTTTGCCCCTGTGGGGCAAGGGAAGGTGAGGGAGAGGGAGCCAGTGGGACTGCCCTGCACCAGGACAGTGTCCTGGGTGAGCTGCAGAGGGCTGGTCGCTTTTACAAAGGGTAGAGCCTGCCTTCTGGCCCCTCAACCCCTCTCCCACTCCCAGGCTGATAAAGGGGTGCGGGCTTCCTTGGCCTCCAGCCCTGGTCCACTGCCATCTTATCAGCCCCAGGGAAGACAAAGGCCCAGTTACAGCTCTCCACGGGGCCTCCTGGCGTATTTACACCTTATCTCCACCATTAGCTGGCCAGTTATCTGATGATCGTGCCCATTAAGGCCACAGCCTGCCTGATGGGGCTCCAGGAAGTGGGGCCGCCACAGCACTCTGGCCAGGGGACCAGGTCAGGCCATGTGAGGTCTCCCCAGGCTGGCAGCCTAGGTAGCAGGTGGACAGGGCAAAGGGTGTGTGGCCTGGGGAAGTACCACCCCTTGAGGGAATGACCACGCTCCTGCCTCATTTAAAGAAACAGAGGCTCAGATAGGGCAGGTGGCTAGCCAGGTGTCCATGTGTCCCACAGCTAATACCAATTACTATAACCAAGGGTCTCCTTGTCCCAACCTGCAGGCTACGATCCATCAGAAGTTCTAGAAGCCTCATGTGGCATGCCCTCTGGCCTCTGTATTCTCCATCTGCCTTTCTTAAAGACAGGCTTTTATTTAGAACCACCTGCTAATCCTAATCCTGGGTGATCGTATCTCATCTTTAATTTAGTCACACCTGCGGACCTTTTTCCACAAACAAGGGGACAATTCCCTTTATAGGTGATGTCTTGTGAAGGGCCACCATCAGGCCTCGTGGGCAAGGTTCTGCATGTAGTGTGTGGTACACACAGGTTCTGCAGACTATGTCCAAGGCCATCATGTGGCCTACCTGCCCCACCTCCCAGTGGTGTTTCTGCAACCCAGCATGTCCTCAAAAAGGACAAAGGTCTGGCCCTAGGACCAGACCAGGAGTAGGAGCTATGGGACAGAAGTGGGCTGGGGGGTCACCAAGCAGCCACCTCACCCCGCCATGTTTCCCTTCAGAGGAGCTGGAGCTGGCACTGCAGGACGGGCAGAGGTGTGTGCGGGCCCGACTGAGCCTCGCCGAGGGCCTGGCCTGGGGCCCATTCCAAGGGAGCATCCAGACCACAGTCTTACCCCCTGAGCAGGAAGAACTGGTAAGGAGCTGAACCCTGACTGCCAACCCAACCTCTCACCTTTACCCAATGGGGAACTTTGGTGGAACCCAAAGAGTTGTGGGTAAAAGGGAGGGATTTCCTGGAAGGACTCTGAAGGGTGTGATACTGGGCTTTGGGGGTTCCAGGGTGACTTCCTAGAGGAGTGGAAGCCAGCACTCCAAAGGGAGTGAGCAGCAAGGAACAGGGTGCCCAGCAGGTTGGGAGGGAGAGGTGGTCAGGGATGGACAGGCCGCAGCTTGTGTAAAAGGGAGACTGCAGAAGGTAAGGAGCCGCTTCTGACACAGGGACAGGTGCTGGCGTGGGCGTGGCTTTCCGGCCCTGGCTCAGCTGGCTCCCTAGAGCAGCCCTGCCTGGGCAGATATTTCCTAAGGCAGTCTCCTTCCCGCCACATAACTACATTGCCGTTTGTCTTGGACTTGCTTCTGAGACCGCTTCTGTTATGGCAAGTCAGCCTGGCTTCCTCCTGCTGGGATGCGTGGGTTCCTTTTGAAATCATTTCAGATGGAAAATGACACCAGGACTCAGAGGTCTGAGTACAGACATGGGGCAGCGACATAACCAGAGGGTCTTGTGCAATGTCCAACAGCTCTGAGGCTAGCCCTGTCAAGCCTAGGATGAGGTGTCTTTATGTAGTGTAGGCCGTGTCTCCTGATGTGGCATTCGGGTGTGGCTTGATCCCAGATACTCACTGGCCGGCCAGTGCCACACAATGCTGGACTCCTTGGTCTGAGGATGCTGAGGACGGCCTCCTTAGTGCCCTTCGCAGGCACTAGTGAGGCAGGGACTGAGAGCTATACTTCCCCCGCATCTGGAGGGCAGGGTGCTGTACACATATGTGGACACACTCTCTCCTTCAGAAACATCATGAAAGCACAGACTGCTGACACAGTGTCCATCGGCAGGTGGGGACCAGCAGACAGGTCCCTGGCACGGACCACCCCTCACAGCCCTTTCTGCCCCAGCCGTATGTCATGACTCAGAATCTCTGTTGGGACAGCCTTTCTCATGTTGGGAAAGGTTCACTGGATTCAAATAAGCCACCTACAGAGGCTTGTGGCCTAGCCACATAGCCTTTCAGCCACCAGGATAGGTACACTTGTCCCAGGCTGTCTGGTGAGAGCAGGAGCTGGTCCTGGACTGAGCATGTCCACCTGTTTGCTGCCCAGGCAGATCCTTTTCTACTCAGAGCCCTTGGGACCAAAGACAGTTCACACGGAACCAAGAGGCTTCCTTGAGCCTAGGCCTGCAGAGATGATAAGGTCAGGCTGTGCTCTGTGAAATGGTGCCCTTGCCTGCTGGCGACCACATGGAGTAAGTAAGGTAGGCCTAGAGTGGTACTTGACCCTGTACATGTCCAGGTCAGCCTGGAAGGAGACTGGCCCAAGGTCCAGGGAGGGATGTCATGATACACAGCACAGCTGATTAAGGTCCTGCAGGAAGGAAGCCAGGGCATTCTTGTGGACCTACTTGGTGAGCATGCCATTGTAGAGCAGACAGCAAGTGACTTGGAGTCCGTGTGCAAACATGAACCTGGTGGCCCCCGTCTCCATGTTCTAGTCAGGAAAACCCTCAGGTAGCAACAGGAGCAAAGGCAAGTCTGCCAGGAACTGGCACCCAGGTCCCGGTGTCCCGTGTCAGTCTCCTCTGTAGCCCTCGGGGTGGTCAACCTAAGCTAGGACAAGTAAGAATGTCCCAGGCGCTCTCTCCATGGCATCCCCCCCCAACCCTAGGGGCAGGTCACTATCTCCAGTTTTTAAAATTTATTCTCCCCTTCTTCTCTCCGTCCACACATACCAACACATACGTGTGTAGGTCAGAGGACAGTTTACAGGAATTATTTGTGCTTTCCATCTCTTGGGTCTTTGGGAATGAACTCATATTGCCAGACTGCATATTGCAGATACTGCATATTGCAAGTGTCTTCACCCACTTACCCATCTCCTTATCCCCAAACGTCCCCATTTTATAGATGGCAAAGCTAAGGCCCTGAAGCTCCTACCTAAATCACCAGGATCCAGAAAGCTGAGGGAAAGCTAGAACCAGTCCAAACTGTTCTGCCATCTCAAGCCACCCCTTCTCACAAGAGCCTCTGTCCCTGTCACCCTTTGTTTCCAGTCTCCTGGTATAGCTCAGCCTGGGAAGGTGGCAGGAAGGTAGACTCCCGCCCAGGTGTGAGATGCTGGCCAATGGAGTGCAGCCGCAAAGCCTCTGAGGCTCCCAGAAGAGGGAGGAAGCACCTCCCTCCCTCCCCTCTATCTCACAGAATTAAATCCTTGATTAACCCTTATCTCCCCAGCAAGGCACTATCTCTGCCTTGGCGCCAAGCGTCCAGACACACGGTACAGATGATTGATTTCTGAAAGATATGGGCGCCTTTGCGATACTTCGTTTATTGTCTAAATATTTTTGCTAACATTCAGCGGGCTCTTATCAAGTTCGACTGATGGGTCCCAGTTCTCCCCGCAGCCTGAGGAAGAAGTCGCCTCCTGCCCCATGGCCCTATCAGCCGCCAGGCAGTTCCTCCTCTCCCCTTGGAGAAGGAGGAGGGAGCGTGCAGATATGAGGCCCCTTTCCCGGGTTTCTCTTAGGCTGGGGGTCCATGGGGACCAGTTGAAAAGAGAAATTCCCCCCCAACACGCCCACCCACACCAGATATCCAAGGTTAGTGTCTAGGAGAGAAACTGAGTCATGCAGCCCTGAGTGGAGAGGTGATGGTCTTGAATCTAGGGCTTGCTACGGTTTCCATTGCCTGTAAAAGGCGACAGTTGGAAAGGCTTCTTAGGGTTCCAGATCCAAGATATACCCTCCCCAAAAATGTTCAGAATGTATTTATGAGGGAGGAGGGGGTGAGGGTGCTCAGTGGATAGTGGACTGGTCAGTGGTGGCGGGTGCATGGGTGGGTAAACGAGAGTAGATGGGTGGATGGATGCTGAATAGATGAAGATGGGTGCTAAGTGGATGGATGGATGCACACATGGTGACTCAGACAGATGGACAGATGAGTAGATGGATTCCAGGTGAGGGTGTGAATGAACAGGTGGGTCAATGCATAGGTGGATGTGTGCACGTGTGTTCACAAACAGGTCCATGTATGGATGGACAGATGAGCAGATCGAGGGTAAGAGGGTGATGGGTGGAAAGCCAAGTGGATAAATGGTTGGTAAGTGGGTGGATGGACGGGTGGAAGAGTCGATGAGCAGACACAGAAATGGGTACATAAGTGTACGGCGAGATGGATCGTGACTGCATAGCCATTCACCCCAGCCTGGCTATGCTGGTTCTGCCTGTTCATTGTTCCCCTGAACTTACTTACTTTGGCCAGGAGCCCACCATAACATCAGAGAAGCCAGGGGAGGGCCCATGACAGCTAAGCAGGGAAAGATGCTAGAGAGACTGAAGCGAGACCATCTGGACCCAGCCTCCACATGGCTTTGGGCAAGTCTTGACTTAAGTATGGAATGGCCTTTAGGTCACCCCCTAATGGCCTGGGGTCCTTTCACCTGAGGATTGAACTAGGGAGCCTAGGCTAGCATGGAAAAGCCCAGATTCACCTCAGCCCCCACCCTAGCTAGGGACTCTAGGGAGTGCTGGGGCAGCTTGGTTTTTAAACCACATCTCTGTGTAACCAGGACACGCAGCCCAGCTGTGCCCACGGCTGCTTTACCCAGGCAGGGATAGGCTGTGTTTGGGTCCTGCCTTGCTGACCTGCTAGGGCGTTCCAAGCCCCGTCTTAGCACCTAGTGCCCAGAAGAGACAGCAGCCCAGCCTCAGGAACCTCAGCTGGAAAGGGCTGACTGGCGCACTCAGATAGCAGGAAGATCCTCCATAGATGCCCCCTGAGTGCTACAACCTGGTGTCTCAGTTACGCTCTGAAATAGTTGAAGACAGAGGCCACGACTCTAGTGGGTAGAGCTGATCCTGTGGGTCTCTGAGGCAGAGTCGGTCTGAGGCCTCTGGTAGCCCCAGGATCCTTGGCCATCACTTTGTCTGCTACAGACTTCACGTGGGTTTCCTCTCCCCTTGCCTCTTCTCCTGTTTTTTTTTTTTAAATCTTATTTTACATACCAATCCTAGTTCCCTCTCTCTCCCCTCTCCTGCTCCCTCTACCTTCTTCCCGCCCCACCCCCATCCATTCCACAGAGAGGGTGAAGCTTCCTATGGAGAGTCAACAAAGTCTGTCACATCACTTGAGGCAGGACCAAGGCCCTTCCCCACATCTAGGCTGAGCAAGGTAGCACACACACACACACACACCCATAGGGAATGGGTTCTACGAATCTCTTCTTTTTAGGTCACTTGTTATTGGGTCTAGGACTGCCCTGCTCCAGGCACTTTCATATTTTCATTTTGAGATTCTGAACAGATTTGCAAAGATCCTTAAGTGAGATCACTCTCGCAATCCTGGTGACGTCCGTGAAGCCACCATTCTGCCCACTCCACAGAGCCTGGGATAATCCGGAGTGTCATCCGGCTGGGTCACCAGTCAGAAGCCGAAGTGGACTACTTCTAGTCTAGGCTTGCACCTGGCCTTGTGGGGGCCTGGATACCCTTCTTCTCCAGGCTTCAGTTTCCCTGCTGCTGTGATAGGAACTTGGGAAATACCCAAGCGCCAGGCTCCCCTCAGGCTCCCCAACTTGCTCCTGAGCCCAGGTAGCCATAGCCTTGGGCCCACCTGCAGCTAGCTTATCCATAGGCCCCAAAGCCACTGGAGATAAAAGGCTGGGGGCCTGGAGGTGAGCAGCAGGTCATTCCACACAGAGGGATGGCTGGCAAGGATGGCAGGAGTCATATACCTGTGACCCTCCCCGAGGTGACCGCTGCTTTCCTGAGTCAGAGTTGCTGCGTTTCTCTGCCTGTGATGGCCAGCACTCTCCCCAGCTAGTCTAACACAAAGCCCAGCTAACAGCAAGCCCAAGCCTGATACTTGCTGGTCCCTGGTCTCCTATTGTCCTTGGCCCTTAACAGGCCCTGGTCCTTCCTTTTTCCTATTTCCTTTGTCCCTAGCACCTGGCACACAGCTGGCCTTCAGGGACTGAGGTGTGAATGACCGAATGAGTGACTATGTGATGAAAAGGCCACTAGGATGGGGCCGAGCTTCTCAGGCCTTGGTTCTAATCCCGCAGCATCTCCGTGGGTCTCAACCCTGCACCTGTGAAGTGGGCCATGGGCATCTAGGGAAAAGAAAGGAGCCCTGGGCTGCCATCACTGTGGAAGATGAATGGATCAGTATTAGCACAAGTGGATAGATCAGGAGAGGGGTTATAACTGGAGTCACCCTGTGGCCACAGGCCTCAACCCTGGTTCTCCAGCCCATGGAGACCTGGAGTCCAGGCAGCAGTGTAGGATGCCTTTTCTGGGCCAAGCCACCCACCTGAGAAGGCCTGCTTTCCCTGTACATGGCTTTATAGTTGGACAGCAAGGTTTGGGAACAGCCTCAGACAAAGCTGTCATAGCGGATGGTGCACAGATATGGTTTCTGATGGTTATCGGCCCACAGAGTCGAGACACTGACCTCTCTGTTGGGGGAACGAGAACAGGCTCAGATCCACCAGAGAACTTAAAGTGGCTGACGTTATCTTCGGTTGGAGGCTGGGGGTGAGTTAGAGCCAGGAAGAAGAGACAAATAGTGGCTTTGGGGCGGTGTGGGATGAAAGCCAGGGCCCTTCCCTTACCTGGACACACCTGTAGAGATCAAGTGGAACCTGGGTGAGGCACCGAGACCAGGGAGAGAAACTGCTGCACCGTGCCTCTGATGGTCTTAGCAAAAGGGCCAGGCTGAGAGAATTAAACACAGGCCCCATACAGAAGATATAGATTGACTGGTACAGTATTTGCCTAACATGCAGAAAACCCTGGGTTCAATCCCCAGTGTTACATAAACCAGGCATGGGGTACACACCTGTCATCCCAGGAGTTGGGAGGCAGAAGCAAGAGGCTGGTAGCTCAGTCATCTTTGACTATGTAGCAAGTTCAAGGCAGCCTGGATTATGGGAGACAGGAGAACCTGTCTCTTAGCTATCCCCTCTGGAAAATAAAAAGGACCCCATGCAGGCCTGTTCCTTGCTGCCCATGGGTGGGACTAGAGGACCCTGTGGGGCGTTGGCAGGTGCCTTTAACACCAGAGAGGAGCTTCTACTCCAGCACTGCTCAGAAACAAGAAAGAGACTAAAGGACCTAACCTGTCCTGCCACCCAAGCCGCTGCCGGAGGGGATCAAAGAGTAGCCCTGACTGCTGTGGAGGTTCTGGGCCAAACCAGGAACTGACCAGGGATGTCAGGTGGGATTGAGCTGGGCTCCATCCTCCAGGGTCTGAGAAATCCAGATAGGAAGAAGAGGGAATGTAACCCCTGTCCCAGATCCTAACCTATCCTGGTGGGATGGCAGGCCCCCCCAGTAACAGAGAAGAAGGACCACAGATAGAGGCCTAGGACATCTGTGTTGGGGCAGTCAGGATCTCATGACCTGGGGAGCTGATGTGATGATGGGCAGCAGCCTCCCTCCCCCCACCCCCACTCTGCCCCTCTAAGTTGCAGCCCATGCCGCAATGCCGAGGGGCGGGGGATGCGGTATGGTGCTCCCTACACTGGGACCTCCACAGAAAGAGCTGCCTGTGCAGCGTCAGCAAAGTGGTGCGCGCGTGTTTTTATCATGCCGTGAACATGCTGCTCCAGAGAGCGATAAGCGTTAAACCGACCGCGAGGCTGTCAGTCTCAGTTTGAGGGTTTAGAAATATTGGGACGAATAATTAGATTTCATATCGTTACCGCAGCGCCCATCAGAGGATCAGGCAGATTAATTTTCTCACCCTCTTCCACTCATTAATATTCATTAGAGATGTGGAAGGCTGAGGCAGGGAGGGCCAGACCCAGCCACCTCACTGACAGCCATCTGCTCTGGCCTGGAACAGCTAGGCTGTGGGAATCACAGGTCCCCCATGTGGGTGCATTGCCCCGCCTGGTTTCCTCCAGGCTACCCAACTGTAACCTTGAAGGCACACCTAGCTTCTGCATCCCTGGGGGTCAGCAAGGTACCCATTAAAAGTGAGCCAGCCCCCTGACACCAACAGATCTGAAGCAGGCTCTTGGGTGGGTGAGATGCACTCCCTCAATGGACATTTGGCGATTGCCAGCCTGGTCCAAGACCCTTTAAGGCTCGTATCTGCGCTCAGAGATACCATCCTGTTCACGTCATCCTTCAAGCAAAGAGTTGGACAGTCGTGGCCAGTGTGTCTGCTCCCTGCATGCCCACACTCATCAGTGTCCTGGGAGGGAAGGGCCATAGAGAGGGTCGGTCACAGCCTGCCTGGGACCCCCTGCCAGCTGGTGGCAGGACAGGGAGGAGTCCACAGCTGGCAGAGGCCTCTCTCACTCTATCCTCATACCAACCGCGTCATGTGGGCTCCATGCTGCTGGTATATAGGAAACTGAGGCCAGAGGCATAGGTGTCACCTGCCAGGACTCTAGGCTTCCCCTTCAGAGCCCGCTTATCTCCACTCTCTGCTCCATGACAAGCCACGTGGCAGCAAGCAGATGACGTGGAAGCCACCTGACTGGGCTGTGCTGACCTCATGTTACATGGTCACTGGGAGTTCCCAACTAGTAGACTTTACCTTGCTGGCTCTGTATATGCCATGGGCATGGGGGTCTCTGAAGAGTTGGCCCACAGGGTCGCAGGGGAAAGATCAAGCCTGAATTAGACCCCGACGTTTGGCCTTGGAGTCTATATGGGCACCGCGTATGAGGAAACCCGGGAAAGCCAGCACGGTCCTGGCAGGGTGGTGCCCCACACAATCAGCGCCTGTTTCTCCTCCTAGTCCAGCGAGTTGTTTATCTTTCCTACCCAATGAGCCAATCGCCATGAACACCAAAGGGCTCCTTAGGACCCACAGAATGAGCGGTGGCTCTGGGCCTCCAGCTAAAAGTTCTTGAGGTACAGGTTTCTGATTAAAAGGTACTTATTTGAATAAAACAGCGAGGGACCGACGGGATAAGACACGGGCATGATCTGGACTTTTACACATAGTGCCTAAGTGTCTGGGTCCAGGGACTGAGATTCAGCCCCACAGGAGGGGAGATGCCCTGGGTGGCAGGAGTCACACACACCCCAGGGACAAACAGGACAGGGCTTCATCTGCCCCTGCTTTCCTGCCACTGGCTGTGTCTCATCTTCCACATGAGACCAAATCCCAGCTCAGCCTTCCAGCCTGGGCTGCCCTGAGACACAGCCACGTAGACTTCCTTTGCTGCTGGGCTGAGAGCCAGGGTGCAGGGGGCAGGAAATAAGCAGCTTTGGTGGCCCTGGGGTCTGAGCCCAGAGCTCTTTCCTTCCAGGTCTAGACCAAGCTGCAGAGGAAGTGTGTGGCACAGACCTAGGCTGGAACTTCTACCCGGGGCCCCCCACCCTTTAGCAGCCTCGGTGTCCTTGCCTATGTGATGATGAAGAGGGCACGGAGCCGCAGCTACCCCTGCCCTTTACTGGGCTCAGCAGCGCAGCTGGTCTTGGGCTGGGCTGGCCCCCACCACAGGGGTGTGCCAGTGCTGCCAATGAATGGGCGGGAATAAAAGTTCTGCCCTGCACTAGAAAGGAAAGCTCTACTGTAGGGGCACACAAGGGTCTCCCTCCCTCCCTCCCTTCTCCCTCCCTCCCTTCTCCCTCCCTGGTATCCTGTAGCTCCCTGCAGGCAGCTGCTGCTGCAGAAAGGGAGCAGGTCTACAGACTCCAGACTAGCTGTGTGCCCTTGGGCACACTGCTTGATCTCTCTGGACCTTTGTTTCCAAGAGAGACTAATGCTTACCCTTGGAAAGAGCAGCTCCCTGCTGTGCCTTCAAAAATCAATGTTTGGACTACGCATGTCCCAGCCATATCAGCTGCCAGGCCACTGACCACCACCGCTCAGGGAATTCCCAACAGGCACTCCATGTAGTCTTACTCTTTCCTGCCCCTGTTCTTCCTTAGGGCCCGGCTGTGACTCTGCTGGTGGATGAGGCCTGCTGGCTAAGGATGCTACCCCAGGCCCTGACTGAAGCTGAAGCCAACTCAGAGATCTACAGGAAGGGTCGGTGTCTCACATGCCTGCCTCCCTCCTCGCTCCCCTCTAAGGTCTTTCAGAAAGTGGGGCCATGTGGCTCTGTCTGGCCCAGCTCTTAAAGGGACACCAGCCTATCTGGGTGAGGGTGATAGTCTGACTGCTTGAGAGAGCACCCATCTGAGAGGATGAGGAACAATCTTGGGAGCTGCAGTCCCAGGCAAATCCTATCTACTGATACAAGGGCTAGATGGCTTGGACCGGGCCCCTCTGTGGCCACGAAGATCGCTGCTTCTCCACCTAGGCTCAGGTGGAGCCTGAAGGGCAGCAACCTGAGGCCCAGCCTGGGTTCTGTTACACCGACGGTGTTGAGACCCAGACCCACCCCTTACTCACTGTGGGACCTGGCGTAAGTCTCTGGCCTTCCAGGATGTTGCTCCATCTAGAAAATGGGAACAATTTTCTAGACTTCCTCTTACTTGAGCACCCCCCCCCCAGCCTTCTAAAAGTGGGAGATCCAAAAGTTTCTCTATCTGCAGGACTGAGGGGACCATGCTCCCCACCCTACCAAAGGGTGGTCTAAAGACCCAGAGAGAGCAGCCAGAAGGCAGGCAGTCTGTACTAGAAGGCAGCATGCCCAGCACCAGATTCGATGCTGGCAAGCTGTCAGCCATGTGCTTGGACCACTAAATCTGCCCTGCCAATAGGTTTTGATAGCTGTACTGCCCCAAGTGTGCTGTCCACAGAAGACAAGGACCCTTCTAGGGCTGATGATGAAAGTGACATGATCTGGATAGGGCCTGCACTTTGGGAAACTCGAGCCAAGCAGACAGGTTCATAATGACCTATGAAATCCTATGGTCTCTGATGAGTAATTTTTTTTTTCCTATATCACCTTTTGCCCCCATAATGGGACTTACCCAGGCTCTACACTGCAGCTCAGCTCGTTCTGCTGCCTTAGGACAGACATACTCCCCTTTCTTTTCCCACTTTCTGCTGGGACTGGCCACTGACTTGGAACTGAGGCCAGCAGTGACCCTGCCCACAGCTCACAGGAGAGCACAGCCTCAGGATTCTAGGCCAGAGGGTAGACCTGCTGGCCCGGCACATTGGTTTTTGTTGATTGAGGCTGCCCTCTACAGGCCACTCTGGCCAATTCCCAACAGGATGAAGAGATTGTCTGTTCTGGGGGCCCCCTACACCAGAAAATTGCTCCACCCCAGCCAAGTGGCTGCACAAGATCCCCTCAGTTACTGCTGCCTCTCCCATACACACCTTTTACTGGAAATGTAACAGCCCCAATCCTTGCTCAGACACAAAATAGCACCCCTCAAATCCAGTCAGCCACAACTGTGGACCTGAGCACATTTGCCTCGCAATGTGAGGGACAAAAGGAAGGACCTCACTGTAAGCCCAGGATTACTGATCCCAGCATTATACATGCTTGTACCCTACAGATGATGCCCTCTGGTGCAGGGTCACCAAGGTGGTACCTTCTGGTAAACTGCTACGTGTGCTCCTTGTGACCGAGCCCCACGGTACTCCCAGACACCCTATGCAGGAGCCAGCAGAACCTGGAGGCCCAGCTCCAGTGCACACAGACATTCAGTTGCTGCCCCAGCAGGCTGGCATGGCATCCATTCTCGCTACCGCGGTCATCAACAGTAAGTATGCCACTCCTAGGGTCAGATGGGTCAGACTTTGGGTGTCACTCAAGACAAAGATCAGGGCTGGGGCGTAACTCAGAAGTACTGGGTATTCAGCATGCAAGAGGTGCAGTTTCTTCACACACACACACACACACACACACACACACACATGCACGCACGCACGGGCGGGGGGGAGGGTTGTGCTCCCAGTAAGACACTGAACTGAAGGACGGTACTCAGCTAATGCAGGGTGACCTGGGTGCTAGAAGATTGCACACGTCCTGCTAAGCTGGGGAGGGCTCATTCCCCAGAGGATCTCGGTGCATGTCTCTTGAGGAACATGCAGTGGAAGAGGTGGAGTATGTTTGCCCTAAGGCAACGGTAGGGACAGGAGAATCCCCAGAGCCTGGGTGAGAAGAGGACTCATGAGTAGGTCACTGTTATGGGGCATGGGTGACCTGAGAGAATCATTCAGAGCTCCCGTTCCTGACAGGACCGTAGCCATCAGGGATACGTTGACAGGGGAACTGGGTTGCCAAAAGCCGGTACCTCAGCTTGGAGTCATCACAAACAGGCTTCACAGGCCAGTCCCTACCATCAGATACCCACTGCCAGTCTGTTCTTCACCCCCACCAGAAGATGTCTTCCCCTGCAAAGACTGCGGGATCTGGTACCGTAGTGAGCGGAACCTGCAAGCCCACCTGCTCTACTACTGCGCCAGCCGCCAGCGTGCAGGCTCCCCTGCCTCAGTGACTGAGGAGAAGCCCAAGGAGACCTACCCCAATGAGCGTGTCTGCCCCTTCCCCCAGTGCCGAAAGAGCTGCCCCAGTGCCAGCTCGCTGGAGATCCACATGCGCAGCCACAGTGGTGAGTGCCCCATGCCTGCCCCTGGTGCTAGGAAAGCTTACTCTGCCACCCTGTGCCCGTGCAGCTCTCCTGCCCCTCTCCACAGCCTGGCACAAGGCTTACCTGTGGCTACCTGGGCACGTAATACAGGGCTAGGTATATGCCTGGACCCTGGGAGGAATGTGGCTGATAAGAAACTAAAGGGGCCTGGGTCCAGTGTCCCTTTCTTGTCACTGGTTTCCGAGACAGCCTCTCATCTCCATGTTCTAGGAGAGCGCCCCTTCGTGTGCCTCATCTGCCTGTCCGCCTTTACCACCAAGGCCAACTGTGAACGCCACCTCAAGGTGCACACGGACACGCTCAGCGGTAGGTGGGCTGGAGAGGGTCGGGATGGGGGTCTCTGGGGCCACACCTCAGCTCCAGGACCCTGACCACAACAGCATGGCCTGCAGGTGTCTGTCACAACTGTGGCTTCATATCCACCACAAGGGACATCCTCTACAGCCACCTGGTGACAAACCACATGGTGTGCCAGCCAGGCTCCAAGGGTGAGATCTACTCGCCAGGGGCTGGACACCCAGCAGTCAAACTTCCTCCAGGTAAGCAGCCATATTGGGACCCCTGATAAGTGGATAGGGAGGGGACTTGTCATAGGCAACAAATGGTATCTTTTTCAACCTTTGTCCTAAATCCCTTCTGCCTACCCTATCCTACACTGGGCCTGCCCCAGGCCTGACATTCAGTCCTGTGTTCTTGTAGATGGCCTGACAGGCTTCCAACAGCACTCACTGATGCACGGGCCCCTGGCTCCTGCTGATAAGGCACCCACCCCATCCTCAGGACTGGACAGTAAGGCCTTAGCCGAAGTCACCAACGGAGAGACCAGAGTGCCCCCCCAAAATGGGGGTAGCAGCGAGTCTCCCGCAGCCCCCAGAACCATCAAGGTGGAAGCTGCAGAGGAGCCCGAAGCAGCCCATGCCTCGGGTCCGGGAGAACCAGGTCCCCAGGCTCCTTCTCGGACACCTTCACCGCACAGCCCAATTCCAGTCAGAGTGAAGACAGAACTGTCCAGCCCCACGCCAGGCTCCAGCCCGGGGCCTGGAGAGTTAGCGATGGCCGGGACGCTCTTTCTGCCACAGTATGTGTTCGGTCCGGACGCGGGCTCGACCACCGGCACCGCAACGCCACAGGCCTCAGAGATCCTGGCCAAGATGTCCGAGTTGGTGCACAGCCGGCTGCAGCAGGGCGCAGGGAACTCCGGGACAGTGGGAACGCCTACTGGCCTCTTCCCCGGGACTAAGGGCGCCACGTGCTTTGAGTGCGACATCACCTTCAACAACATCAACAACTTCTACGTGCACAAGCGCCTCTACTGCTCCGGCCGCCGCGCGCCCGAGGACACGCCCGTTGTGCGCAAACCCAAGGCAGCCCCGGGGCCGGCCCGTGCTACCCCAGGAGCAGCTGCAGAGGCAGACCCACAGCGCTCGTCGCCGGGGCCCGGGCCGCGAGAGGAAGAGGCGGGTGGCGCGACCACTCCAGAGGCCGAGGCCGCTGGCCGGGGCAGCGAGGGCAGCCAGAGCCCGGGCAGCTCGGTGGACGATGCGGAGGACGATCCCAGCCGCACGCTGTGTGAGGCCTGCAACATCCGGTTCAGTCGCCACGAGACCTACACTGT